GGGGCCACGAGTTTAAAGTTTTTAACAATAGGGAACATAGATTCCATTCAAGGTTGGATCAAGGGTGGGTCTTGTGCGGATCCGCCATTGTAGGTGAGTCTCCATGGAATACAGTTTTAGGAAAGCGGTTCTGATAAGCAGAGATGATTATCAGTTGATGCGGCATAGCAGCCATCTTGTAATTAGCGGGAATGGTGTTGTGGGGATCTGCAGCGGGAGTTATCCTCGGGTATCTGGCTTCCTCAAGAATGGTAGAGTAGTTTCTGTTCTTCCCTGAGACAATGCAGGGCTGGTAACCATCATCTCACTGTCCATAGGTAGAGAAAGTCCTTCTATATAATATATTTCTCAATTGGTTTAAGACAGCTAAAGTTTCTTTCTGTTGCTTATAGTTGCAAGTTCTTAATCCTTGTTTTCAGCTTCAGTTTGCCGCCTGCGACCGCGGCCACGCGCAGGGGGGTTTGGGGGGGGCACGCTCAGGTCCAGGGGCCACACGCCAGACCCGAGCGCGCGAATGTGCGCGGGACCCAGCGCCACCTCCCATTCGCCTGCCCGGCCAGAGAAAGGAAGGATGGCGACCTTGGTTGGTCTGCGCCGCCGGCCCGCATTGGCGCCAAGCGGGACACACCCAGTGCCCCAGAGGCAGCGGGGGCCGGGCAGCCCAGGCCGCGGAACACGGAACAGAGCCCCAGCCGTGCAGGCCTGCCACCGCGCAGGCCCAGGCCCGCCGCCGCGCAGGCCCCAAAAATTTAGTATTCATTTTAAAGTGCTTAAATTATCTGACATTTCTTTCCCAGTACTTAACTCTTCTAAATTTGATGCTTATTGATTTTATAAAATCTAAGCTACCTTTTAAATTTAAAATCATAAGCCCAAACCAGTTATTCAGGAATTTTAAATTGTTCATTTTTCAGATACACTAATGTACTTGTTTTTTCAATCCAAATGTTAAAAAATATATAGTACTTGTCTCTTATGCCCACAGGCAGCATGCAAGTGTGATGTGGCCTCAATTTACTTTTTCTCCTGTTTCTGACCCTCTTCTGTTTATCTCTTAACGTTTTTCCCTTTCCTTTCATCATATCTGTATTCTAAACCTGCGCAGTTCATCAAGATGGTTCCAGTTTCATTGACTTAAGCAATTTAAGGTCGCCCATTCCAAGCAAATTTTGAGTCATATATGGTTGGGGTTGAATCTTACAGGAAAACAGGTGGGATCGAGAGCTATAGACGTCTAGGGTGATGTTTCTCCAGAAAGGGGCTAAGTTGAGCACAGTTTTACACACTCTGCCAGCAGTGACTCTGGGCCATAACTGCCAAGTTCCATCCTGTCACCTTGGATTTAAGTTTCATATCACGTAATTCACAATGACCGTGGGTCTGCAGTCCCCACACACAGTATGCATGACTGATGCATTTCATTTAATCTGTTTATTGCTTGATTCTGTCCTGTATTATTCTTTTTATTTGGCATGCTATAATTTTTAATTATTTTAAGCATTTAAGTATTTAAAAATAAAACCTACTTGGATTTTGCTTATCTGGCTTTATATTACAGTTGTAAGGTCATTCTCATGATAGCTTTACTTCAAATTTTCTGAAACACAAAGAATATTTTATATCCTGGGATCAGTAGTTAGCATAATGGCTATGTTGCTGAACTCCCATGTAGCTGACCACAGTTCAAGTCCTGGTGGCTTAAACTCATGCTAGGTGTGCGTGCGTGCTCAGGAATTGAGAGGAGAATGGAAGAGAAGAGACTGCAGCGTGGACATCCCCTCTGGGGGGTGATTTCTTGCTCTCTGTCTCTCTGGCGAGCACATGTGCCCTATAGCAAAAACCTCTCCAAAAAAAAGAGAATATTTTGTATCCTAAAAAAAAGTTACCTAGAGCCCATAAACAGGGATTATATTTGGATCACAGGCCTGATTTATTTACACAGAAAGTAATGTGATACTTTAGTTCTCCAGTTGTATTTTTGGCAAGGACTGTACACCATCTCTGTTCAATAATAATGTAATGTGAACTGCATATATAATTTAAAATTTTCTAGTAGCCATGTTATGTAAAAAGAAACAGGTGAAATTAATTTTAATGTTTTATTTAGACCAGTAAAATTTAGATGTTATTTCAACGTGTAATCAATATAAAAATGGAAGTGTTTTATATTTTTCTTTCATACAGAATCTTTGAAATCCCACTGCAAGTTCAGTTCAGACTAACCACATTTCAAATGCTCAGTGGACACTTTGTAGCTAGTGGTTTCTATGGTGGATAGGGAAGTCTTACACTTTTGCAACTTTGCATTGGTAACATAATTGTTGCTTCCTATGTAAATGTGGTTTATTATTTTAGATACAGATATCTCTAATTGAATAAAACAATTTATTTAAAAATGTATCTCTTTATTTTCTTTCTCTTAAAGGCCCTTCCTTCTTCTATGATCATAGTAGCAGTTTATTGTCCTGTGATAGCTGCCATTTTTATTGTTCTGAAGATGGTCAACTATCGACTACATAGAGCTCTTGATGCTGGAGAAGTTGTTGAGAGGGGTGCAAATGAGTTTGCAGATCAGCGAGCGAAAGCTGAACAAGGCAACTGTTCAACCAGGAGAAAAGACAGCAATGGACCAAGGTAAGGACACCTGCGTCCCTCAGTTTGTGTTGTCGATTGTGTTATGTGTACAATGATGTGATGGTTGTGTTGTACCTGCTGACTTTATATGGTTTACGGCAGCATCAGATTTATCACTAGATATAATGGTAAGTACAGAAGTGCAGATTGTAATATAGAACAGACCAAAGCTAACTGACGTGCTTGGGGGATTAAGCCAGTGTCCTTGGCCTCATTACTAAACAAGTTAAAACAGTATACTCTAATGTGATTCTTCACACCAAAACCAGTGGAAAACAACTTAGGGAATAATTAAGCATGGCTTATGATTCTCAGCATTTATTTTTAAGTTTATACACACAAATAAAATGTGTGAATATTATAAGCAAATATTCATTTTTTTAAAAGATTTTTAAAAATTATTTATTTTATTTTATTTATTCATTCATTTATTTTAATTTGACCAGAGAGAAACAGAGAGAGAGAGGGAAAGGGAGAAATGAAGCTGCCTGGTTCGGGATTCGAACTATGGTCAGCCATGTGGGAGTGTCCATCCAGCACCTTAACCACCATACCACCTGCTGGTCCGCCCCCCCCCCTTTTTTTTTAAACTTAAAAAAAAATTATTTATTTAATTTTATTTATTCATTCATTTATTTTAGTATATGTGCTGCCGAAGCGAGCACTTCATTAACTTATTTTAATTTGACCAGATAGAAACACACACACACACACACACAGAGGGGGGGGGGGAGGAAGGAAGAAAGGAAGGCAAATATTCATATTTTACTTCACATTTGTAATCTGTATTTTTCACTTAGTCTATTGTAAGTGTTTTTCAATTTTATATGCTTACCTTAGACACTTAGTTGTTCTTTTCCTCAATCATTATTATTATTATTATTATTATTATTATTACTTCGTGAGAGTTATTTGTTATAGGGCATGTGTGCTTGCTGGAGAGACAGAGAGAGAGAGTGTGAGAAATCACCCCTTAGAAGGGATGGCCTTGCCACGATCACTTCTCTCCAGATTTTGGGCGTGCATGGACATGAACTGGGCATGAGTTTCAAGCTGCCAGGTCCCAGACTCAACCAGCAGTTGACCGTGTGGCAGGCCAGTGCCTTATTCACCACATGACCTGCGGGCCCCTCCTAAGTCTTCATAAGATTGATGTCACCCCTTCTTGGAAGCTTTCCCTTCACATTTCATCTACAGAATCCTCCCTATTGCTCAGTCACTTTCTATCGCATTACCTTGGCCTCTTCCCACTTCTGTTTTTGTAGTGGAAGTTTATTTGGACCTTGTTACCAGAAATAGGTACCACTAACGTAACTCTTAAAAAATAGCTCCTTGTATGAAACTTGACACACATAAGGTTATAGGGCACGTATGCTCACCAGAAAGACAGAGACAGAGAGATAAAAAGCGAGAAATCACTCCCCGGGGGGATGGCCACACCACAATCCCTTCTCCTCTCGGGATCTTGGGCATGTATGCACACATGCCTGGTGTGAGTTTAAGCCACCAGGTCCGGAACTTGAACCGCGGTCGACTACACGGGAGTCTGTCAACATAGCCATTACACCATCTGCTGGTCCCAAGGTCATTCTATTCTAAAAACAACGCTGAGGTAGATGCTGTTATCCCTGATGTACAATGTGGAAACCAAGGTGAGAAAGATGAAATAATCCAAGCAGTTGGGCTCCGGAGTCCCTGCTTTTAGCCACTGTGCCATGTTTCTACTTAGCGTAATGTGAGATATTTGATGTATGAAGATATAAAAAATATAATAAAAGTGGATATTCCTCTATAAAGGCAGATAATAGTTCTGTATATTTCCAATTCATTGAAGCCTTTGTTTTTCCCCTTTGAATTACATTTTTCCTCATCCGTAATGATTACCATATGTTCCTTGCATAGATATTTTACCCATGTAATAATTTTGTTCATTGCATTATCACTATTTGAAATTATTTATCTGTATTTATAAGTTTCTTGAAGGCAGGGGCCTTGCTTTTCTTATGAAATATCATATTCCTAGGTTCCAAACCAGTGTCTGGTACAGATAGGTACTCAGGTAATAAACACATTACTTCTGTGTTTATTTTTAGTGATGCACAGTATTCCATTTTGTCGATGTATGAAAATTTGACTATCCTATTTTGAGTTACTTCAATTATTGTCAAATTTAAAATGGAAATATCACTGTAATGTTTAAGATGAAATGTTGTACAGTAATTTGGTGCTATTACCAGAAAGGCTGCACGCATTTTTAATTTTTCTGATATATAGGGAGGTCTTCAAAAGGTTCATGGAAAATGTGTACCATGAAAAATCTATGCATGTCCTTTAGTTGTATTTGTCCATGAACTTTTTGCAGTCCTCTCACAATACCAAGTTCTGAAGATTTTTACCATTTCTGTGACCAGCATTAAGAACACACTGAGCAATTAGTGTTTTGACAAGATAGCTCTTTGTTTAACTGTCACTTTTGGATTACTAGTGAAATGGAGGTATTTTTCTTGTTACTGCCATTTGTATTTGTTTTGTGAATTTTTATATTGGTGGCTAGTTTTTCTGCTATTGGTTTAGAAAGACGAATTCATGAATATATTTTACCCTTTATTGTTTGTGTTAAATACTTTTCCTCAGTATAGCATTTTATTTATATATTTTAAAATATGCCACACGTATTTTTAAAGTTTATCTATTTATCTCTTCCATGTGGGGGAAGGACAAGCAGGCAAATTATATAAATATTCAGTTGTATCTACTCTTAGTATTCTTGTCATTCTGTTTTTTTTTTTACTCTTAAATTGTAGTCAGTTCAGAAACATAATTTGTTTAGATTTGTTTATTCTTTTTGTTTTTAAGAGGTTTTTGCCATAGGGTGTGAGTGCTCGCCAGAAAGAGAGACAGAGAGACAGAAACCGAGAAATCACTCCCCAGGGGATAGCCACGCTGCAATCCCTTCTCCTCCATACTCCTCTTGGGATCTTGGGCATGCACGCACACGTGCCAGCGTGAGTTTAAGCCACTAAGTCTGAGACTCGAATTGTGGTGGACTACATGGGAGTCCAGCGACATAGCCATTACGCTAACTGCTGGTCGCTAGGTTTGTTTATTCTAACACCATTCTCTAATAATGCATTTTCCCTGGTAAATATAAATGCTTTCTTCTTAATGTAGCCTACTTACACTTATGTCAGTTCCCAGAATTTGTTTTCTACCCCATCGATCTTTCTATATTTTTTGTTTGTTTATACCATACCATTTTGATCATAATAGCTTTATAGTATGCTTAATACTTAGCAGTGCCAATACCTTTTCAGTATTTTTTTCCCCAATATTACTTGGTTGTTTTTATGAATATACTTTTTTGGTGAGATGTCCTCCTGTGTACTCATCATCCAGAAGATACAGTTTTGATAATAATTGTTTTAAATTTGAAGAAACTCAAATCTTCAAAATAGGAAATCTCATGTAGGGACATTGATGAAATTTTCATTTATTTTCACATATTTCCACTTACCATCCATTTATTCACTTATTTTTTATGTTTTGTAAAATTTCAGATTTTTTAAAAATTTTAAATGATTTAATTTAATTTTATTTATTCATTCATTTATTTTAATTTGACCAGAGAGAGATAGAGAGACACAGAGGGAGGGAAAGTGAGAAAGCAAGCCACCTGGTCTGGGACTCAAACCATGGTTGGTCATGTGGGAGTATCCAGCACCTTAACCACCATGCCACTTGCTGGTCCCAAATTTCAGATATTTTAAATGGGAATTAAGAATTAAATACACACTCTAACATAGTGAATAAACAGAACGTAGATTGCATTTAGTGGGCCAGGGATTGAATCACTTCCTAATTGTATGACCTTGGAGAAATTACTTAGGCTTTTTATACTTTGTCTTCCTATCAGTATGATGAGGGTAATAATAGTTTTACCTCATAGAAATTCTATAGGAATAAATGAGATGAAATATGAAAGCACTTAGAATAATTCCTGACAGGGGCCGGCAGGTGGAGTGGTGGTTAAGGTGCTGGGCTCCCACATGACCAACTTAGGTTTGAGTCCCAGACCTCATGGCTTTCTTTCTCACTTTCTCTCTCTTTTTGATCAAAATTTGGGTCAGCAGGTAGTGTGGTAGTTAAGGTTAAGGTGCTGGACACTCCCACATGGCTGACCTTGTTTTGAGTTCAGAACCTGGTGGCTTGCTTTCTACTTTCCCTCTCTCTCTCTCACTGGTCAAATTAAAATAAATGAATGAATAAATGAAATTAAATAATTTTTAAAAGGGGAAAGAAAAAAATTTTAAAAGATGATGAATAAAATTAAATAATTATTTAGATGAAAGATTAATTCCAGATATGGAATAACCACCCAGTAATTGTTCTCATTATTTGTGGGTATTATTATATTTTTTAATTACTCTGTTATGGATTGTTTTTCCATTTTCTTTTAGTATTAAATAGCTTTTATTGTGAAGTATATATATTCCAAATAGTACGTCAAATGTATGTATGTATAATTGAGAGTATCATAATTTAGTATAGACTTAATTACCCACCACGCGATTTAAGAAGTAAGACATTGGGGCCAACAGGTGGCATGATGGTTAAGACTGGACTCCCACATGGCCAACCATGGTTCAAGTCGCAGATCTAGTGGCTTGCTTTCTCACTTTCCCTTTCTCTATCTCTTTTCTAGTAAAATTAAAAAATAGTAATAATAACAAGTAAAATTAATTAAATAAATAATTCTTAAAAAAAGAAGTTGGACATTGTACAAATGCCATGTAAGCCTAATGTATTTTCCATTGCATTCTTCACTTCCCATCATCTTGTTTCATTTTTCTTTCTTTTTTTTTATTAATTGATTGATTGGAATTAAAAAACTATATCCACACTATTACTTTATTGGCTATGTGCATTACAGACATCTCCCAGTTTTTGGCTTGTCATTTGACTTTCTTTAAGATTTTTAATGATTATCATACATTCCTAAA